TCTTTTATATCATATAACTGGGTATTTTATATATACCCATTCACTTTTCCTATATATCATATAACTTGTATTGGTATATACCATTCTCTTGACATATTTATCATATAACTGGTATTTGCATATACCATTCCCTTATCCTACATACCATATAACTTTTTACCATTCATTTGTTCTATATATCATATAACTTGAATTGATATATACCATTCTCTTGACATATTTATCATATAACTGGTATTTATATATACCATTTCCCTGTCCTATATATCATGGTATTTATAAATATTATATAACCGGTATTTATTGATACCATTCCATTATCCTATACACCATATAACTGTTATCAATATATATCATTCACCACTAGTCCTATATATTGTGCATCTAGTATTTGTTTATACCATTACATTGTCCAATATATCATATAACAGATATTTATTCATTCAGTTACATTAATCTTTTACTTATTGTGCCCTTGTACATTATGATATAACTGGTATTTATATATACCTGATTCCCGTGTCCTTTATAATTCATATAACTGGTATTTATTTATACCATTTCATTGCCATACATATTATATGACTGGTATTTGCATGTTATCTTTTACTTCTTCTAACTTTTCTGACCATGTAAATTACATTAAACATCTGTTTTATGATATTTCCATTAAATTTACTTATTCATTAATTTATTTACTTGTTTATTTTCAAATCCATTTATGCATTCTTATTAGAACATTACTTTTTTCAAATCATATTTCTTTTCACAAACTATCTCTGCTCTTTTAAAAAATAACCTTAACCTTTATCCAGATTAATATATTTTGTCTTTATATTTCACTGCATTTCTGTCATTTTTTTTATTGAAATACACATTTGGATATTACTTTCATCAATTTCAATATTATTACAATGATCAGAAATTAATATTTAACTATCTGTTTTTGATGATTGTTATCTATCACATTGCAATACATTCATTTATTAACTTATCAATATGTAACTTTAGTATTAATATTTCCTTGCTTTGCTGATAATGAAAAGTCTTTTTTTATATCTTTTATCATGAAATAATTTAGATTCAGCATTATGTTTACTGCATGTATTCTATTTCACTATGTTAAAAATTCAGATAATTTTTTGTCAATAATAAAAAAACAAATTTATCATCTGTTTTAACATACAAAAATTAAGTTTAAACACTATGTTAACTACATGTATCCTATATCACTTTTTTTGTTGAAAATACAAACCAATCATCACCATCAAGTTTAACATGAAATAACTGATCTCTATCTTTTACATACTGTATAGCATCATTTCCCTTCTCTCCTCCTAGTCCTAGTGATATCCATGTTAACCTATCATCATTAAACTCCTCACCATCTCCTGTTATATAACAGTGTATTAACCTCACATCTACAGTATGAGGAATTCTAGGAAGACTATCAACAAACTTCTGCCATGTTGTCAAACTCATTATGACATCATAAAGCTCAATGTGCTTTAAACTCTTCATCTCTAAAGGTAACTGTATTACATTGTCAGTAAACCTACAATACCTTAACTTAAGCTTACTGAGATTGTGTAACAATGGTAATACTGTGACAAGTCTCTTTGTTATGTTGGTATGATATAATTGAGATTTATTGTAATAATCTCCATACAATTCAAGTTCTTTTAATTTGTAAGATTTTCTAATAATATCAAATATTTTCTCATAATTACTATTATTCAATTTATCAAATGTAAATATTCAAGGTTTGTAGTATCAGCATCTAATTCACACTAAACAGTATTATACAAATAAAAGGTACTGGAAAGTTCCCCGGTTGATGTTTTGATAAATTACATCATGCTGCTTCATAACACTCACCAAATTGAACATCACCAAAGATGTATTTGTTCAAGATGACTTTGGTTTCCCTCAAGAAAAATTAACAAAAGCTGTAGTTAGTATATCAAATGACTCATTCTTATAAACCTCTTCATAACGTATTGGCTACAGATTGATCATACTAGGTAGGTTTGACTAAACAAAACTGTTTTATACACTGGGTAATTACTTTGACAGGTGTAAAGAGACAATCGAAGAGACCCAAGAGGATTTTTTAATGTTTGAAAGTATTTACTTTAATTGTCTTCACCCAAACCACAATTGTTTAAATTTCAAATTCAATCAACTCATTATTCTGTGTACTACAAGTTTGGAGCCTTGCTAATAGAATTCGAACCCTTCTTATCCGGAATCCTTTTTTATCCGAACGAAATGTCCAGTCCCCGATTTTTATTCGGTTCTATTTTTCAAAATATTAAAAAAACCCTTTCGGATCCGGAACCCTGTCTACTCCGAATTCCGGACGATTTTTTCAATTTTTGTTCTTATTTTAAACTCTAAAAATTTTACCTCTCCGGATCCGAACAGATTTTTGCCAAATGTCACACCTTCATTCTTTAAATAAAAATAATCACACATCTTGCAAAGGTGTAAACGTACACCAAACTGATGTGTTGATTTTCACTTGAAATTAATGGGTGAAACGTATGATCCTGCGAAGGTTGTGAAAATTACACTTACCTTGCCTTCATATCTTCTATAATTGCTTAATTGGTTGTTTTTCGCCACCTTCAAAGTAACTATTTTGATACAATGCAAAAAGAAATATCTTTAAATCCTTTGTTAATGGATTCAATGAAACGTGATTAAGCAATGAAAAATTAATAGAAACTGTCAGTGAATTTCGGATAGTCGCTGAATCGGATAAGAGTAAAACAACAATTGACAAATGCTGGTACGAATATTTTAATTATGTCTCCACCTCCTGTTTTACATCGTAGGTTTTAACTTACCCTTGAGGACAATAATATTTTTTTGCTTTTTTAATTTATTATTTTATTTCTTTATTTTTGTATTCACATGTATTAGAATGAATGATAAGAGGGACTGCAAAAATAAAATATCTAAATTGCCAAATTATCAAATGCATTCCAGTTTTCTTTCCCTAAACTTTTTTTGCAAATACATGTAACATTTGAAAAAATTATGTAAAAGAACCTTCTAATTCGGAAACCTTTCTAAATCCGGAAACCTTTCTAAATCCGAACTTTTCTTCATGGTCCGGACGAGTTCGGATTAGAACCCAGGTTCCAAAGGCTGTATCACTTTGTTTACTTGAATAACCTTTGTAATTCAAATTCATATGTTATTTCAAATTTTTTAAAGATGATGAAACATTGGGTAAAATTATTTTTTGTAAATTTAAAAACAATTTTTTTGTGTTGAGTTCACCTACATCAATTAGACAGAAACAGAGTCAGGAACAATTTTGATGCTGATCAATACCTTGAAACAAACAATATCAACAATACTGGGCCCTGCCATAATGACCAAATCTTCCTATATAAAATACAGGTTTATTTCCTTTAGCTACACATGCTGCATTTAATTTCCCTTCCATTGACTCAAACATAAACTTTTGAATATCAAGCAATATATTTAGTATCAGCAAATAATTAAAAATATAATACGTCACTACTTACTGTTCTCTCCGTGTATTCCTGAAACACGACAGTCTTTTGACAAAGTATCATATATGTATTTTTGAAAAACATGAGTTGCTAATATCTAGGTTCTAGACCAGATAGCAATGTGATAACATTTGACTGCTCTAATATGTCATTTACTGTTGAACATTTCTGTAAAAACCCTCATTAAATTAAACTTTTTTGTGCGTAATTCAACATTTCCTGTACTATCTATGACAAAGACCAATTTTTGCATTGAAATTGATGCCAATATAACACCTGCAAGCCAAAAAATTCTTGCATTGATTTGTGAATAAAAGAGAAAATGAGCTTGGGTGGTTTCTGAAATAAAAACAGATAAACTTGGACATTCATCTTCTGTAATTATTCCAAGTTTCAAGCAATTTTCTCTTACTTCATCTGATATTTCCCTAGTTCATTCAACATAACAAATGTCAAATGTCAAGGATTTATCCTTTCGGACAATTAAATAAGTGTCTCATAAGCCAACTGCGACACATAATAAATGAGATGGCTGTTTTAATTTTTAATATCTTTTTATCAGCTTAAGGTTTTAGGAAAGATCTACTTTCTGAGCACCCTCCATAAGTCGAGTAAGCATTGTTCCTAGTAGTTTTCATGTCATTCCATGTAAAGAATAAATCTAAAAATGCCGGTGTAAAGATGGCACATCTTGAGGTTTTATCAAGTTTAAACCATCAAACCATAGACAAATCAGTTGCTGCAGAAAAATTGGTAGCTGTTTTAAACTTTTCAGGGACTTTTCTTCTAGCTTTTGTAAACAAACCCAGGCATCTTTAACTAGCATGCCGCTTGAATTTAATTGTGAGACTGTTCTTTTTTACCATTTCACTCTCACATCTCAAAATCAAAACCCCTTTCAAGATTCAGTATTTGTTCAATTTCTTGTCTCACTTATTCCTAAGGTGTGAACTTTCCAATGGCCGTGATGTAGTTACGATTGTGTAGTCTTTATTAACATCTTGTTTTGGGAGACCCATTGTCTGGAACTGGATTGTAGGACTTTCTTTCAGAAGACCATTCATCTAAGCCATCAAGCAATATTATAATCTTTGCAGATTCCTTTTGAGAACTGGGCTTGGAAATTATCATATCATACTGATTTTTAATCCATATCCTGGACACTGTCTATGTCTTGATTATGTCTTAGAGAGATATATAACATGATATCGAATTTCCTTCATTTCCTTGACTACTTCAAACTTATCATTTACATTTTGTGCATCACTGGTGTGAATACACCAACAGTTGACCAATATTTACAGAAACTACTCTTACCAGACCCTGCATCTCCAAGAACATAAATATGTTTCAAAGGCACAGCACCATTCTTTATGAAGATATCTGACATTGACTTGACCTCAATCTCCTTTGTCTCCCCCTTTCTCATCCTTTTATTTTATCTTGTTATAGTGGGCCTAAACATAAATCTCACTGAAAGTTTATCATTTCTGACCTCGTGGTAGTAAAAGGCATTGCTGGTACTTTTAGCAAATTCTTACAGTATGATGCTATCATCTCTTTCTGCCATTCTAAAATTATAATATAGTATAACATTAACCTGTAAACACACTAATGAGTTACTCATAGATATACAAGAGGGCCATAATGGCCCTGAGGTCGCTCACCTGTATATAGCCCCACTGCCCCCCCCCCGGCAGGACCAATTTTAACCCAAGGGCTTTTATTTGAACAAACTTGGTAGACACCCATAAAAGATGTTTCATGCTAACCATCTAAGCTCTAACTCATCAGGTTTTTTAAAAGAAGATTTTTCAAGTTTTTACTATACACAAATAGTTAAAAACAATGACACCCCTGGGGCAGGGCCAGTTTTGACCCCAGGGCTTTTATTTGAACAAACTTGGTAGACACTCATTTTAAGATGTTTCATGCTAAGTATCTTCGGTCTAGCTCTTTGGGTTCTTTAAAAGAAGATTTTTAAAGTTTTTACTATATGCATATTGGGAAAATCAATGACCCCCTGGGGCGGGGCCAATTTTGACCCCAGGGCTTTTATTTGAACAAACTTGGTAGACACTTACTAGAAGATGTTTCATGACAAATATCTAAGCTAGCCTCTAGCTCTTAGGGCTTTTTAAAAGGAGATATTTAAACTTTTTTCTTTCTGCATGGAATTAAATTCTTTGAACATTTTTTAAAGGTGACCACCAATGGAGCATTCCTGTGAAGTTTGGATGAAATTGGCTTAGTGGTTTATGAGGAGATGTCATTTAAAGTAAAAGTTTACGGACGGACAGACGGATGCCGGACGAAAAAGCGATCACAAACGCTTACCCTGTAACTTTGTGACAGGTGAGCTAATAATAAACCATCAACAAACAAAACAATTGCCAATGATGGTAAAATATTACATACAAGACCAATAGTGACCTAGTAATTGTTTCGTTACCCCAATAGATAGTTAGATTTAAAACAAAAGATAACTGAGGAATGCAACTATCATATTTCCTGTTAAATAATCATTATTACATAATTAGTTCAATGTTTAATGATCACAAGTTATAATAAATAACTAATATTACATTATTATTTAAATAATTTATCAACACATATTTAATCATTATACATTTAATGCACCACCAGTGATCACTCCCATTTAATTTCATAAAAGTTCCCGTTTAACCTCAAAGCCAGATAAGATTTTTCTATTTATAGCTCTAGCGACCATTTTATGCAGTCAATCAAATGTGTCGGTGATATTCACAACTAGGGATAGTACTGATCACTTCTGTGAAGTTTCATTAAAACCCACCAGCGGTTTGACCTTGGAAACCAGAGAGGACTTTTCTATTTATAGCTCTGGCAGCCATTTTGTGCAGCAGAGCGAAACGTGTGGGTGATATGCACAGCTAGAGATGGGACTGATCACTCCTGTGGCACAAATACATAGAAAGAAATTATCTTTGGTGAAAAAAAGACTAATTGTACAGGTAATAGTATAAATATATATTATCAAATCATGTTCAAAACAGTTACAAATAACCTTTCAATTTCCCAATGTTCTAAACATTTTATAAGTCAATTTTTGACCTTCAAGTGTGGTCTTGACCTTCAGCTGGCACAAGGGTAAGATGGGTTCTGCACATTGCCAATTTGGGGCGAACATTTGAGTAAAGTTTGAAGAAAATCTTTCCATTAGTGTAGAATTTATAAAGCGGACACAACATTGTCTAGTATTGATTGTATGTAAATTTAAAGACTGAAAAGGGGGCATAATTTGTCAAAATGCAATACAGAGTTATGAAACTTATGTGTGACACCTCATATATCTTTTAAGTTTCAAGCAAATACCCGTGCTAGTTTAAGAAATATTCAGTACATGTTAAAATTTCAGAACATTTTCCAAGTCAATTTTTGACCTTTAAAGTGTGATCTTGACCTTTAGCCGGCACAAAGGTGACATGGATTCTGCACATAACCTTGTTGGGGTGAACATTTGAGTAAAGTTTGAGGAAAATTCTTCCATTAGTATAAGATTTTTAGAGCGGGCAAGACATATTGTCTAATATTTGATTGTATGTACATTTGAAGACTTAAAAAGGGGCATAATTTTGTAAAAATGCAATATAGAGTTATGAAATTTGACCAGCATATCTTAATTGTAACACTTCATATATATTTTAAGTTTCAAGCAAAGGCCTTTACTAGTTCCAGAAATATTCAAATACATGTTAAAATTTAAGAATATTTTCTAAGTCAATTTTTGACTTTCAAGTCTTGACCTTAAGTAGTACAGAATAATGGACCCATTCGCAATCACAAACGGACCTTCACAATTTTCAGACTGGGTCTGATGGAGCCGTGAACATTTCTGATGAAATTTCACAATTCTGATGACTTAAGCCTTTTTTAACGTATTATATCCTCTCTTCTCATAATGATGCTAAAATTTTGCCTGTTGTGCTGTATCTATCTTAAAATGTATTTAGCCAACTATTATTTCCGGTGCATTTGCCCTTTAAATTTTCCTACTGTTTAAATATGAACCTTCTAGGGACAAATCAATACTGATCCAAGTGTCTGGTAATTTCTGTAAACATCATTCAAAATGTCTTGTAACAGTAAATACTACGTAAAAAAACTATATATATATTTTTTTTTGTAAACATCATTCAAAATGTCTTGTAACAGTAAATACTACGTAAAAAAATATGTTCTTACTGCTTTATAAGATATTAACAATCTTAATTAAAAGATTCACAATTTGTTAAGAAACAACGCTTTTTTCACCATTTTTTGGTACCACATTTTGTGGTGGGGGTATAATTAGGACAGATGAATGTACTAACGAATAGGATCAAAGAAAATGTACCTTTTGTTCTCCAAGTCTATACCACTGGGTTTGTGCTGACAGATGATGGAGGCAAAAATAATATGTCTCCCAATATTTTTACTCAACTTGGTTTGCTTATGAATATTTTACTCACCTAACTTGGTTTGCTCATTATCTGCCTGACTTTGACTGAAGGAAGTTTCTGTCTTAATTTTTGCCATCTCCTGCAAAAACAACTTATCTTCTTAGCTTCAAAAAGGACTTTTAAGTTCAAAACTGATAAACAAGATATTCTTAAGATGTAAATATTAATACACTAGAGTATATACAGAATTGTGAACAATGTTACATTTTAGCGTTATAACCACCATGTATCTATTCAATCACTTCTTCAAAATTCTTTGTTAGAAAATACTCTGCAATATAGGATTTATTCCGGTCATCGGTTCACTTTTTAATCCTTAAAGAACTAACCCTCATGCATTTTTACGTTGTACAAATTTGAAGCTAAAAGCGTCAACATGATTATCAAAGTTCAAAGTTCTATACCTTATCTTATAACAAAATATGTCCCTGGACAACAAACTCAACATTTATCAGTGCTGAATTGTGTAAACTGAGCAATGATTGAAGAAAATCCTTCAACGGGTAAAAGCCTTACATAACAAACAAGATATATTATAATATTTAACCTTTACCTGTAACCTTAACAATGAGCCAGTATAGTTAACATTGAACTTTTAAGTGTTATCTTCATTATGAGCAAGCACATCTTAATTTAACCTTTTAGTGTGACCTTCACCATGAGCAAGAACTGCTTACATAAAATGATGAGTAAGCATACATGAAGCTAACATTAAACCTTTTAAGTGTGACCTTCATCAGGGTAAGTATACAGTACAGATAACGAGGAATATGCAAATTCCTGAGAGTATCGAGTTATTACAAACTAAAATCCTTGAACGCATGTATTCAAAATAAAAATGTTGTCGAAAATTCTTAGTTGATGTAAAGTATCACAAGTGAAAACGAAAGTAGACACACTTGATTCATTAATATCAAAAGGGAAGAATAACCGATGATTTCCCGCAATTCCCGTGTCACACAGTGACAAAAACTTTTGTTTTCTTTAGGAACTGTTGCAGTGATTTAATGAGACTAGAGACATTTAAAGAATAATGAAGTTGATATAATCTGAATTATTCTTATTTCACAAAGAAGTGTACAAAAATGTTATTATGTGTTTGTTTGTTTTTTAAATCGTTTTTTTTTGTTTTTGACAGAATTTCAGGTTCCTGTGGTGATTGCTACTGACCGAATTAATCAGGATAAAAATAAACTTGATGACCTTTACAGTAGTGTTTTTTCTAATCAATTGTACCTTTCAACTGTGTACGGTAAACAGTAAAAATCATCTTTATTTACAAATCGTAATCTAAAACGAAACGTAAAATGAGATGGCACTTGCATTTATTTACACCAGCTTGACATTGACATGGAGTAATAAGCCGTAAAACTCTCTGAGTAACGCGCTGTTATTTTCACCTCGGAGTCACTCTCATCACACGTTTCTCACGCGGAGTCAGTCGTTTTTATGGACAAATACTCTCGCGGAGTTGCGAGAGGATTCCTCGATCCTCTGAGGATTTTGCATATTCCTCGTTATCTGTACTGTAGCTACATTTAAAACAGGGTTGCCAGCATCATAGATAAATAAAATTCCCTGACTTTTCCCTGACTTTTCACTGACCAAATTAGGTTTTTCACTGACCAAAACTACCAAACTTAAACGGTCTCCAACTCCCCTACACCTGTCCAATTCACCCCAGGGCTTTTTTTCCTTCTATATCAGGGGCCATTATAGGACTGTTTCCCTAAAAAGAAATTCTTTAAAATCATGCAGTTTTCCCACAAAATAGAATTACATCAAGTTTTTTCTTCCGCTTTTGCAAATATACCATTAATTTATCCCCAAAATTAAGGGCAGGGCTACTTCCCCAACGTGTTAAAAATAAGCCCTGCACACATAGGGTTTTTTTTGTTTGTTTTTATTTGTTTGGGTCGTCAGACCAAACAAATAATGGTAGCGAAATTTCAGAGTCTAATGTTGTTAATTGCAAATGCCGAAAGTAGTCCACTTTTTTGAAGTGGTTACTTCCCTTGTGTATGTACACTAAAGCCGAAAAATTCAGGGGAGATCACTGCGTAAAGATGGTCAAAGACAGGCGCATCAATTTTCAAGCAAAGTAATTCCTGAATGGTCGAATATTTCTAATACTGTTTTATTGTATTTTCTGATCGAAAATAACTAAATACAAAGCGGACATTCAATCTCTGACACGTAAGTTTACGACAAACCTTACAACAAGTAGTTCTCAAAACAGCTTAAAACTAGCGATTTAAAAAGAAAGAAATATTTTATTTTGTTACAAAGTATCCAACAAATTACAACGCATTTAAAGTTAAACAATTAGCGTTGTCTTATAGAATTGTCAATAAATGCACAATCACAAATTACGCGGATGAATATGATTTTATCAATGAAAAATACTATTTTTAGCCATGTCGATCGATTACCGAATATTACACAAACCGAGTAGTGGAATATATAGATTCTACATGTCGGGACTGTTTGGGCGAGAGGAATTTTTCGCTAAGATATTTAACTTCAATTTTAAACAACAGGTTGCCTGAACAAATACCTCGAAAATTAATAAGGATTAACAAACACCCGAACTGCAATGGAAGTTCTAAATTTTTAGAATGACTAGATATTATTCAGACGATTAGTGTATAATTTCTCCGTGGTACAGTGGTAACGCCCTCTGCCTCGTGAGTGAGAGGCTCGAGTTCGAATCCAGTCGAGGGAAACTTTTTTTTTGTGTTAAATTCTTTTTTTTAAAGTGTTTTTGTTAAGGAAAGTAGCCATGATATAACAAGGATAAAGTGTGGCTGTCGTAAAAAAAAATAACATAAATGATTTTTTGATGCAACTCTAGTTTATGCAGAATTCCGTATGTATCAAAACTCTGGTGCCTTACAAAAGGAATTATAATACATAAAAATAAACTTATACAGGAAAATGCATAGCAGATATACAGTAACGATTTAGATTGCAAAGATCAGAAAATACCACAGAACTTGCAGCCCTTTGATTCTTTATAAAATATACATGCTTATAGTAAGCTCCAGGATTATTTACATCTGTGTTAAACAACAGTTAAAGTCGTTACAAGCCCTAATTTAGAATAATATGGTTTTCTTCAGGCCGTTCACATATAAATTCACCATGGCTGAAAGGGCTTTCCGGGCTCGCTTAGGAAGCGAGAGGTCTGGAGTTCAAAATCCCAGTAAAGGTAACTCATTTTTTTAAATTGTTAAAGTCAAATAAACATTGGATTGAATATCAGTGTTGCAATTAGTCTTAATAGCCAATTTACTACAATTAAAACGCTGGAAAGCATTGGTGGCACTAAACATATAATCTCACAACCTGCACCTTTCTTACATTCTGAGACCCAAACAAATTCAGCGCCTTCTGTGCTTTGATTTAATCCTTTAACAATATGGTCAATAAAACATGCTTTATACATCTAAGTTTGGTAGTTTTGTGTTCAGTAAAATGTTTTCGATAAGATCAAGTCTGAAGCAAAACTACTATCTTGAGCTACAGAATACTGCCATAGCAAATATGATTAATAACAAGAGGGTCATGATGGCCCTGAAATTACTCAGGGCTTTTATTTGAACAAAGTTGGTAAACACCCATTGGAAAATGTTTCATGCCAAATATCTCAGCTCTAGCTCTTTTGTTTTTTAAAAGAAGACTTTTTAGTTTTTATTATATATACATATAAGGAAAATCAATGACCCCATGACTGGACCAGTTTTGACCCCAGGGCTTTTATTTTAACAAACTTGGTAGACACTTACTAAAAGATGTTTCATGCCAAATATCACAGCTCTACCTCTTTGGGTTTTTCAAAGAAGATATGTTTTTGTTTTTTACTATGTACATAAAAGGAAAATCAGTAACACCCTTGGGTGGGGCTTATTTTGACCCAAGGACTTTTATTTGAACAAACTTGATAGACACCCACTAGAAGATGTTTCATGCCAAATATCTAAGCTCTTCCTCTTTGGGTTTTTTAAAAGAAGATATTTTAAGTTTTTTCTATCGGTTGCCATGGCAACCAGACTTCTGAATGGAACTAAATTCTTTGAACAGTTTTTAAAGGTGACCACCAAAGGAACATTCCTGTGAAGTTTGGATGAAATTGGCTCAGCGGTTTATGAGGAGATGTCATTTAAAGTAAAAGTTTACGGACGGAGGGACAGACGACGGACGGACGCCGGACGAAAAGCGATCACAAAAGCTCACCCTGTCACTTTGACAGAATTTCATGCTTGGACTTTAAGAAATGTCATTTTAGCGTGATTTGAGTACATAAGATCATTATGATATTTTACCTGAATATCCCTTTAAGCAAGGAGTTTCTGCACATGTCATATGCTTTTCAGGAAATATGCTAAAACTTTTTTTTATACGGGGATTTTGGAAGATTTACTTTTAAAAATTCAAACAATATTTGTTTGCAGCGAATAAATAACAATAACTTAAATCATTAAGTACTTAAGTATATTACCACAAGAACTTTAATCATAAAGTAGTTTCTTAATTTACAATTACCCCTCATGTCTTGATCTTTTTAATGCAAAGATGTCTATATACATTTATGCGCTTAACATAAATCATTTTAGTTAACAGACAGAAGGACATTTGTTTTACCTCTTTCTGTTCTGAAACAAGAGTCTCCAAGACTCCAAGTTTCTTTTTCAATTCGGCTTTCTCAAGTGTTTCCCGAGACATTTGGAATTCAAGTTCTTTCATTGTTTTCTTTAGTCCTTTAAGTTCTTTTTCAATTTCCAGCTTTCCCTCCTTTTCATCAGACATCTTGGCTTCAAGGTCTATTAGCTTCTTCTTCAGATCATCATATTCTTCTTTAGTTGCAGCACTTTCTGTCGATTTCAGAACTTTTGCCATTTCTTTCTTAATTTCTCTCAGGATTTCTTCAAAGCTTTCAGTCGTAATAATGAAATCTTTGTTCTTCAGCTGATAAAAAGAAATCAGTTTTGTTATATTTTCTTTCATAAAAAATGAAGCTATGTAATTTATGATATATTTACTCTTACAGTTCATATTATATGTAAGGTCAAATTTTATTTCAAATTATCCAAATTGCTCTATTTAAACTTTCATACTTTGTTCTTAAATCCACTTTTTTAAGGCAGTATACACTTACCTATCTACTTATCTGATTCTAAGACATTACTATTTTCTCACTTTTTTCTTATCTATTTCATTGTAGCCTATGGGGTTAGCCAAAAATGTTTTAGAAGTTTTCAGAATTCTTAATATTTCTCACTTTCTTAATTTCACACTTAAGGGTTGGACATGCATGACATGTTGAGGTTCTAATAGGGGTCAAGATATATGTGGGTCACAGATAATAAGAGATACTATCATACAAACATATTGCTGGTTTTATTATCTCAAGTAAAATATCCTTCACACACTTTTTCAATTTTCAAATATTTAAAGTAATTTTTTATTGATATAATCCAAACCTTACCACAATATCAGAATTCAGAAGTCCTAAAAAATTCAGAGGTATGAGTCATATATAGAATTTCGGTACCCAAAATATTGTTCGGATTTCAAAGTTTTTGGATTTCAGAAGTTCTTTACAAACTAAAATCTCTTTTGTTTATAATTTAACATTTTATAGGTACATATATATTTTCATGTGACTTTATCAATTAATTTAAGGGAATTATTATTACCACTTCAAACTCTGTTACCTTAACTTTGTCCTGAATTATGTGGCATGTTATCTTTAATCATTTTAAGTTAACTCCATAAAGATTTCAAACTGATATAATTCATTATTTACACTTACATCTTGAAGTTTCTTCACTGCTATCTGGGCATTTGGTTGTTGTAATAGCTCTTTACCATCTTGTAAAACTGCTATCATATCGTCAATATGTGAATTGGCCTCACTTTCTTCTAATTCCATGTTGCTTGAGTGGAAAATATTATTTCTATACTGACGTACCTATTGAATAGAAAACACAGGTTTTAATATTGTTCTATGCATATACATGTTTATACTGTTAAGCAAACAAAATTGTTTTGTTGACACTTGTTTAGGTACTTACCTTCATAAAAGACGCAATCACAAATTTTATCAGGCCTTTTTCTTACATGTATCAGAGCAACAGATAAGCTTTAAAAGTGAATTGGGTATTACTCCATCATTTCCTTTGGAATTGGGTATTGGCTCCATTTAATTGGGTATTCCAAAACTCGATACCCTATGATTTCAAGATCAATTGGGTATTCAATTATGAAGATATGAATTTTATGGTTTATAAAGAAAATAGAATAGAACAATTTACTAGAACTTTTCACAATTGTTTTATTTTTTTTATAAAATGCTCATGTTATATTTCATAATATTTTTAACATGTTCGTTTTCTGACTGATTTTTGGTTATTTACGACTGTTTTGTTTCAAATCATTTTCCCTTTTGTACGACGCCATATTGCCTTCAAAGCGTCTATTGATACTATTCAACGGTCTCTGCCGGTCTGTTAAGACCGTCGACCTGAGTAGACAAATTGACCGTCTTAGCTTAATTGATATGGCTTACGGTCTTTGGAGACCGGGACCGTCGAAGACCGGAGACCGTTGATTAGTTAGCATTGATTCGGAAATATTCGGATAGCATGCATATCGATATAATTTGTCCAAAACTACGAGCGAACGACAGATTAATTTTGCTGTGGTGAAAATGACAATACGCACGGGTTTGTATGACAATTGCGTATTTTATTTTTTTTAATGGGTTTTGATACGCATTCTTAAAAAATCAATTGCGTATTTTATAAAATTAATTGAGTAAATACGCAAATCCTTATCTGTTGCTCTGATGTATAATATTCATTGCAAATTTGGGGACATTGTGTCAAAGACTTAATTTTTTATTCAAACTAGAACTGCCACTCTCATGGCGTGAATACCCCCGCATACCACTTTGTAAGAATCAACAGTGGCCATTTAGACCTCAAGGACAACCTCCCTGCCAAATCTGAGGTAACTAAGCAAGTGCATTGCTAAGTTATGTATTCTACATGCTTCAAATGTGAAAAATGTCAAAATCAATACATTAAGGACAGGACATTCTTTAGCAATTGAGAAGAAAAGCTTTTTTTTAGTCAAGGTCCCTGTGACCTTGAACTTTGACCCCAGTGACCTCAAAATCAATAGGCGTCACCTTATAGTCATGATCAACATCCATACCCAAATATGAAGACTGTGGGTCAAAGGAATCTTAAGTTTAATGGGTGGACAAACTTTTTTGAAGTCAAAGTCCCCTATGACCTTGACCTTTGATCCAGTGACCTCAAAATGAAAAAGGGGTCATCTACTAATCATGATCAACATCCATGTCAAATATGAAGACTGTGGGTCAAAGGAATCTAAAGTTATTGGGCAGACAAAAGTTTTTGAAGTCAAAGTCCCTGTGACCTTGACCTTTGACCCAGTGACCTCAAAATCTATAGGGGTCACCTTATAGTCATGATCAACATCCATACCAAATATGAAGACTGTGGGTCAAAGGAATCTTAAGTTTATGGGTGGACAAACTTTTTGAAGTCAAAGTCCCTATGACCTTGACCTTTGATCAAGTGACCTCAAAATGAAAAGGGGTCATCTACTAATCATGATCAACATCCATGTCAAATATGAAGACTGTGGGTCAAAGGAATCTAAAGTTATTGGGCAGACAAAGTTTTTGAAGTCAAAGTCCCTGTGACCTTGACCTTTGACCTGGTGACCTCAAAATCAATAGGGGTCATCTACTAATCATGACTAACCTCCATGCCAAATATGACGACTGTAGGTCAAAGGAATCTTAAGTTATTGGGCGGACAAGCTTTTTGAAGTCAAGGCCTCTGTGACCTTGACCTTTAACCTGGTGACTTCAAAATCAATAGGGGTCATCAACTAATAATGACTAACCTCCATGCCAAATATTAAGACTAAGGGTCATAGGAATCTTAAGTTATTGGACGGACAAGCTTTTTGAAGTCAAGGCCCTTATGACCTTGACCTTTGACCTAGTGACCTCAAAATCAATAGGGGTCATCTACATATCATGACTAACCTCCATGCCAAATATAAAGACTAAGGGTCAAAGGAATCTTAAGTTATTGGGCGGACAAGCTTTTTGAAGTCAAGGCCCCTGTGACCTTGACCTTTGACCTAGTGACCTCAAAATCAATAAGGGTCATCTACTTATCATGGCTAACCTCCATGCCAAATATGAAGACTTAGGGTCAAAGGAATCTTAAGTAATTGGGCGGACAAGCTTTTTGAAGTCAAGGCCCCTGTGACCTTGACCTTTGACCTAAAAATCAATATGGGTCATCTACTAATCATGACTAACCTCCATGCCAAATATGAAGACTAAGGGTCAAAGGAATCTTAAGTTATTGGGCGGACAAGAAAAAACCGACAGACGGACGGCCGGACGGACGGACAGCCGGACGGACAAGCTGATTCCAGTATACCCCCCTTACAACTTTGTTGTGCGGGGGTATAATAAGGAAAGAAATAATTGTGAAATTTATTTTTTGGGGGAAAAAAATGCCAGCATATAAGATGTGCAAACTCTTTAAACAAAGCTAAATAAATATTACTGAAACTGATAAGAATTTAAAAGATATCTGAAACATATGGAACGTCCACACCAAATACAAAATGTTTGTACCTTTTTTCAAATCACCGACTTCAGGAAAGGGATTTTTTTGGGATTGGGAAAAAAAAGGACAAAGTTTGCATTGGGAATGCCCAGGCCTTTATTTGGACACATGGGATACGGAAAAATAGGCCTGTATACAAATAGTTCTATATACATTGTACAAATCTACAATTGCATATGTTTACAGTAAATATTAACCACAAGCCTTGTGAATTGTTATCATAAACGATTGGTGGATTTTATGCATTTGTTGTGAATCATTAAAGGGGTGAATAATTTCATAACCTTCTTAGTTAAACTAAAACTGCCACTGTCATGGCGTGTAAACCCCCGCATACCACTTTGTCAGAATAAAGCTCAAGGACAACTCCCCTGCCAAATCTGAGGGTAGTAAGCCATTGCATTGCTAAATTATGTATTCTACATGTTTTTGTGGCAAAGATCAAAGTGACCTTTACCTTTGACCTCAAAACTGAAACTGCCACTGCTAGTGTTGTCCCGATTGTCTCTGAAAATCAATAACTACATGTAATCGGACCACCCCAAAGTCGGCAACATTCGATAGTTCTTTTTAATAATCGATTATTTTAATGTTCTATCATCGCTGAATTGTCTACGGAGTAACTTTTTTTTACACGCGGTCAAATAGAAGCTTCTTGCGGATGGACGAGCTGATGACAAGCTGTCAGTCTGGTATACCCCCTTACAACTTTGTTGTGTGGGAGTATAAATAGTATTTTCTCTTTTACTAAAATGCTGAATAAGTAATGAATATACAATTGCTGCGTTGACGATTTCTGGGTTTGCGTAAATTATACCATAATCACATGACCTTTCTTATGCCTTAACCTCACGAGACGAAGTCGAGGTTGCATAAGAAAGGTCACGTGATTATGGTATAATTTACGCAAACCCAGAAATCGTCAACGCACCAATGGTGTATCTGTTTTAACCTATAGCTCCGCCCAGAAACACTTACTCCTTCAATCTTCAAAACTGAAAATTATACTGTGAAATCATTTGTATTCGTGGGCATGAAATTTCGTGGTTTTATCAAAACAGGCATTTTCGTGGGTTCTTAAATTCGTGGATTTTCATTTTCTTGTAAAAAAAAATAAGTAATGGAAAGTAATCTATAACTTAATCACTGCGCTGTTTTACTTACCCCGTGTATATAACACAGCTCTTGTCAATAAATTTAATCCTGGCCTCTGGCAGTAACACAATTACTGCCGATAATTGACTGCAATTAACACCTTTGTGTGACATGATATGCAGCTCCATTATATGCCCCTATAATTCGCCAATGTAAACATCGCATAAATTATACGACATCTGCCAATTTTTAACTAGCCAGTAAAAAAGTTAACACCCCGAATTAGTCCAAAACTACACACTACATCACATCGACTGTGTAAATTTATATGCATATAAATTAATACCAGTAAATGGCTCAATACAGTTACATACATGTATGTGTGCATCTAGTGTAAAGACGACGGCTTCTTTGATATTTTCGGAATAGCAGTCACAAAAATACATATTGAAAAAAATATGTTTAAATGGATCATATAAACACTAGTCGTTAAAAGTTTTATCGGGGATAATTAATGCACTTGGTTCCCATATTTACTCGATTATGTCACGTATTCTGGCTAACACAATCAAATAGCCTACAACGATCAAGTAGTCCCCTGATGTTTACATGCGACGAACATTTGTGACAGCAAACTGAAGACATTCAATCGATTTTTCTTTCAAGTTTCTTAAATATTGCAAAATTAAACTATTTATGGATTTAATTTGTCACTGACCTGATTATAATATACATTCATACAACAAATATCGGCCGGAAAAGCGCCGACGCATGTTGTGATATATGGAACAGAGACTTGGTAAGAAGCGTTTGTTCGGATAAAATTTCGTCGGGTCTTAAATTCGTGGATTAAATTAAATTAGACCTATCCACGAAAACCACGAAAATTCATGCCCCACGAATAATGATGATTTCACAGTACCATAGTCTGGGTATGGTATAATTTACGGTTATTGGAAATTATACTTGGAAGAATTTTACATAAGAAGCGCTGAAGAGCTATAGGTTAAACAACATTTACATTACTTTAATGCTGAATATACAGCAATTACATTACAATAGAGCTGATAAAAGATAAGTAAAAGATATTTTATTAATGATTTACCTTTAAAAAAAAGTTGTTGGCTTTTGTGACATCACATCCAATGTGGCTATGAAAATACTGGTTATTTATCATTAGATGTAATAACCCAGTACAATCAGTTTCACTAGCAGATTGTTTCTGCTCGTACCCTGGAGCATTTATAAAACACTTACAAATGCTCCAAGGATCTGTCGACCACTGTTGAGCATCGGTGTTTTTCCAGTTAGGTGCAGGTGGTGAGGATGAATGATGCTGCACAATAAAATCATAGATGGCGCCACATATGTTGTTCGGACAAGCAATTTTTCCCTTACAGCAACAGCTGCATTTTGCTTGCCCAAAACGACAAACTTTCTTTCCAGCATTCCCAGGTACTGGTTTATGGTCTGGCTTGAGAGTTTCAACTTGACAGCTGCCACACGTCACAGTTGATGGTAGTGATTTTGTAGACCGAATGTTTTGTAAGATATCCTTATGTTGTTGGTCAGCTATGTCATTACAGAATGGTACCAGTCCATCCTTTAAATATCCAAGTCCTAAACCAGCCTTTACCCACTGTCTGTATTTTTCCTTCTCTAACTGAAGTTGATGTGCCATCCTGATACTCTATCAATATCTAAACAAATCAAACAAAAAGATTATGTTAAATTTTATATAAATAAGTAATTATGGTCTTGGATTGCAATTCAAAGTCAAAAATACTGGGTAAATATGATATGAGCCGTGCCATGACAAAACCGACATAATGGGTTTGCGACCAGTATGGATCCAGACGCATCCGCGCAGTCTGATCAGGATCCATGCTGTTCGCTTACCAACCATATTACAAGTAGAGAAACTGATAGCGAACAGCATGGATCTTAATTAGATTGCACGGATGCGCAGGCTGGTCTGGATCCATGCTGGTCGCAAACGCACTATGTTGGTTTTGTCGTGACGCGGCTCATATGTGTTCCAAAAAAGACAAAAAACTAGTGGTGTCATCGATCAGGATTATAGATAAATAAACTATGAAAACTGAACAATTTGTTTATTTCTTTTATCATATAACTATAAAAGACAACTAATGACTAGTAACTATAAAGTTTAAAGCATTTTCTATTCTAATTTTAGTGTTGTTGTTGCAATTATGACCTTACGGATTAGGTTAAATCCCGTCCTTGCAGTTCAAAATATACCAGGGTTTAATAAGCAAATTATAGTGTTTACAACCTGAATAATTATTATAGTTTAACATTTTATAATCATAATTTAATTAATACAAAGAAAGACTGACACAATTTTTTTTGGCGCTTTCCCTTTTTAAAATCTGAATTGAGGGGTGGCTCTTAACACCAACTTAGCAGACGTGCGAGATTACAACGAAATTCGGCAGTATTTGTTAGAGACACAGGGAGGTAATTTGGTGTGATTTTCATTTTCATTTTGGAAAAAAAATGTTTGAAAACATTTGGCAACACAGGCGCTAGTCACTTTATCAAATATTTTACATAATCAGCCTATATAATATATATATATATATATATATGTATATTAAGATTATAGTATATACTTAGTATATAGCCCATATAGAACATAAAAAGTTTGTTTCAAGCACCTGTGGTTGGCATTCAATACCTGATATTTAAAAAATTTGATATCAATTGTAAACGTGTGACCATATAAATGATTTACAAATATTCATTAATTGAACAAACATTATTTTTTATCCAGTTTCCACTCCTCCATTTGATATGTTCTATAATAAGTTATTTCCGCGCACATGCAGTACATGTAACTGCGTGACACAGAAAATCCCTTCCCTAGTTTGTGGTTATTTATGTAAGTACTTTTTTATTTATGAACCAAATTAAACGATATATTGAATATAAAATCATTTTATTATTATAAAACACCGTATCAAGAAAAGTTAATAAAAAAATAATCCATTTATCAAATATAATTCATATTCGGTATCTTCTGTCCGCTACAGATATGACTTTTATAGAACGTAATTCGAATATAACTTATAACTTTTTCATTATTTTATGGACCAAATTTAACGATATTTTGCATGTAAAATCATTTTATTATTATAAAACTTCGTATCAAGAAAATATAATAAAAAAAAAATTACTTTGTAAAATATAAGTCAAATTTATAAAGTCATATCTGAGGATATGAGTCATCTCCGGTATTAAGACATACCGCATATTACCTGGCAATCCGTGACATTTGGAAACGGTTGATTCAGTACATGGGTTAACGTGAAGAACAGAAGATACCGAATATGACTTATAGTTCATAAAGTTTTTTCTTCATATGATATTTTATAATAATAAAATGAAATTACATGCCAAAAATGGTTAAATTTGATACTGTAATAAAAATGTTACATGTTATATTTGTTGCATGTTCTAATTTAAATAAAAGTCATATCCATAGCAGAAAGTAGATACCGAATATGACTTTTTACAGTACTGGACACGCGAAACCTGCACAATTCGCGTATTCGCGGCGAACCCTCATGCTTTATAACGCGAGTAAATTTGCGGCAACTTGAGACAATTCTCGCGAATTCAACTCGCGGCGATTTTGCCGTGAACATTTGCCGTGATTCGCCAGGAATAATACATGTTACTTTGAATAAAAAATGTATTTTGCACTCTATGAACTTGAAACCATTCGTATATTTTAGATGATATACATGTATGAAAATTAATAAGTAGATCTACATGAAGTTGTATCAAGAAAATCTTGTAATATTTTGTAACTAAATTATTTTATTGTCTACCAATCAACTTGCATTTTGCTACTCATCACATACTCATCTCAAGCACCTGGCATTTTTTACTCGTGAAATTAAAAGTAAAGAAAGTCTCAATTTAAGTGATAAAACATTAACAATTTTCAACAATTATAATTAGCGTACCGTAAAATTCCTATTAAACGCCCCCGGGGGCTAAACATTTTCCAAAAGGGGGGCTATTATTACAACACAGTTTTTCCTTAATCCAAAAATCACTGTAAAAATCACTGTAAATACATTTAGCAAGTGTTGGTAATAACATTAAAAAGTGTTAAGGTTTGAAAGTTAATATTATGGTATTTGTGTTTACTATAAATTCAAATGGATTCTGAATGATTTGAATAAAATAATGGCTTTAATTATGAGTTCAGCACTGATGAGGAAGATTGTTTTCCTTATCAAAAAGCCTGAGGGGCCTTTATAAGGGGAGGGGCGTTTATTAGGAATTTTACGGTATTAGACGTAATATTGTTCTAAAAATAGAATATGTGCGAAAGTTAACAACGGATTTTAATTACATTTGTATTATTATCAAAGTAACAATTGGACAATTTGTTATCGTGCGTTCTTTGATGTATTTCCAATAACATTTTGTAATTTAAATCTCGTTTTGTTGTTAACTAATTTTCATCCAGCACCTGATTGCTTTGTTTTCGAATACAAAATGTATACGTTGTACACTGTACATGTTCAATTGCTAAATATTAATAAATATACATGAGATTTACAAGATTTTTTCCAAGTTTTTACTATAATTATGTATATAGTGAAAATTAAAGACCCCCGGGCAGGACCAAGTTGTACTTTCTAATACAAATATTGCTGTAGATTGGCCATATAAATTACTGAGATATATCGCGGCGATTTTTCGTGAACCGTCATGAAATTTGTCGAACTTGCAAGCGGCAATGTACCGCATAATGTCCTGTCACGACATAGACTACACTCACGGCATAACGCGACTTTTGCAGGTTTCACGTGTCCTGAGTACTGTAAGTTACATATATTGCACGCTTTGTATAAAAGTCATATCCGTTGCGGATTGAAGATACCAAATTTATATGATTTGTTATTTTCAAACTTGTTTCTTTAATTTTTTTATTTATTTTTTGGTATTTTTTTTTTGTCACATAATTTAAAAAGTTAAAATAATAATACAGTCGAACTTCGTTCGCTCAAACTCGGAGGGGCCTGTGCAAATTTGTTCGAGCGATCGGTAGTTCGAGCGAACCGAGGTTGAACAATAATTACATAGAACATAGGCTTAAGGTTTTCCAGCTTATATCGGTCAAATGATAAATACGTCAATAAAACTGTTTTTTAGTACATCTGTTTGTCGAATACGTCATATTAAGAATTATTATCCTATTGAAAACACTATTAACGGTGCACGGTTCTAATCTACATTCATGCATATTGTAATTGGTTGAGTTCGATCGGGCGATCATTATCCAAACTGTGAAAAATGTTCAAGTCTATTATGGGATGAATTTTATTTTAAACAATGAATTGACACAATATTAAAAAGCAGCATATATTTGTAGTTATTTACTAAAATAAACACACGTACAAGTATCATTCTATAAATAGATTACACTGTTACATTTCACGTTACATGAACCACGGTTGTAATTAAAGCCGTCAGGGTAAACGTCATTTACTTATTTATTTACTTTGGGCATTTCAGGAGTTACTTTCTTTTTATCGTTACTAAAGACTGCAAAAAAACAATTGTATTATAACAAACAAATCGGTAAAACACCTTTTATTTTGTATCAATTAACCATAATTGCCTTTGTCACGATCACGAGGTGTTAAAAACATGCGTCGCCGACTGTCAATTATTTAGAACATGTCGACCCGCAACTTTTGTTGTCTGTTTGAGTTCGACCGAATATGTGTGATTTACACTATATTTCTGCCGAAGGGACCGGAGATCAGGTTCGAGAGCGTTCGATTGGTATTCGAGCGATCCGAGGTAGAACAGTATATATTATATAGGAATTTTGCCGGGACTGGGCGATGAGTTCGAGCGAAGGGAGGTATTCGAGCGAATGAAGTTTAACTGTACATGCAAAACATCGTTAAATTATGCCCGTAAATGAAAAAGTAACAAGTTATATTCGTTGCATGTTCTAAATGTCATATCCTTGGCGGAACTTATATACGTTGCATATTCTAAAGAAAGTATTGAAGATACCAAATATGACTTATATTTTATAAAGTTTCTGATTGTTTTTCTTGATACCACTTTATTAAAAATACTAGAACTATCACTAAATGTGATTAATACCCCCACAAGACTGCTTCGGAAATGAGGATGTTACTAGTAACAGAATATCTTGTAAAAGAATTGAAATATAGAGTTATGGTTGTGGGCAATTAAAGATAGTTGTGGTTCTTGTATATTGCATTTCCTTTCAATGTGGTTGGCCATTGATGAAGTTTTATTGAATTACTCTGTAATAAGTCCAGAAAGACAAAGAAAAGGAACAAAGGGCAATAACTCTATAAATACTGTAGATGGAGTTATAGTTCTTGTGCACTGCACTTCCTCTTTTTGTGCTTGACCATTGTATGAAGTTGTTTTGAATTTCAACCAGTACGTTTTAAGTTATGCTCCAGACAAGGAAAAGTATCAAAGGGCAGTAACTCTGTATTTTGTCAAAATGGAGTTATGGCTCTTATGCACTGCACTTCCTTTTAATGTCCTTGACAACTGTATGAAGTTGTATTGAATTCCAAACAGTAGTTTTCAAGTTATGCTCTGGACAAGGAAATTTACAAAGGGCAATAACTCTGTAATTTGTCAAGATGGAGTTATGGTTCTTGTGCACTGCACTTCCTCTCAATGTGCTTGACCATTGTATGAAGTTATATTGAATTCCAACCATCAGTCTTCAAGTTATGCTCCGGACAAAAAAAAAGCAATGGAAAAGTAACAAAGGGCAGTAACTCTGTAATTAGTCAAGATGGAGTTATGGTTCTTGTGCACTGCACTTCCTCTCAATGTGCTTGACCATTGTATGAAGTTATATTGAATTCCAACAACTAGTCTTCAAGTTATACTCCGGACAAAAGAAAGCAATGGAAAAGTCACAAAGGGCAATAACTCTGTAATTACTTTAGATAGAGTTATGGTTCTTATGCACTGCACTTCCCCTTACTGTGTTTGACAATTGTATGAAGTTGTTTTGAATTCCAACCAGTAATTTTCAAGTTATGCCCCGGACAAGGAAAAGTAACAAAGGGAAATAACTCTGTAATTAGTCAAGATAGAGTTATGGTTCTTGTGCACTGCACTTCCTCTCAATGTGCTTGACCCATTGTATGTAGTTATATTGAATTCCAACCATTAGTCTTCAAGTTATGGTCCGGACAAAAGAAAGCATATGGAAAAGAAAGAAAGGGCAATAACTCTGTAATTACTTTAGATAGAGTTATGGTTCTTGTGCACTGCACTTCCCCTTATTGTGTTTGACAATTGTATGAAGTTGTTTTGAATTCCAAACAGTAGTGTTCAAGTTATGCCCTGGACAAGGAAAAGTAACAAAGGGCAATAACTCTGTAATTAGTCAAGATAGAGTTATGGTTCTTGTGCACTGCACTTCCTCTCAATGTGCTTGACCATTGTATGTAGTTATATTGAATTCCAACCATTAGTCTTCAAGTTATGGTCCGGACAAGGAAAATGCAACGGACGTCTGGACCGACCGACCGACCGCCCGACCGACCAACCGACCACCGGGTGACTCCTATATACCCCCCCAAACTTCGTTTTTGGGGGTATAATAAGTCATATCCGGTATTAAAAGTCATATCTGCCGATGTGAGACATATCCGGTATTATGTCATACCTGGTTATATGTTGTTTTTTTTTCGTTTTTTTTTTTCTTCTAATATCGTTCTTTTTATCACAAAATAAACGGTCCAGGCCCCTTTACAATTTTGACAAAAAATGCCCTGCTGGCCTAATATTTGAATCAAGTTGTTATTATATGTGACATACCTACATCAGTGATTATTTCTGGAAATATCCTTCATATATAAAAAATTATAATCTGATGTCAACTCTAGATATTGATACAATTAACAAATTAGCAACTTTTCTATATATAGCGCTTAGAGAACGTGATCAATTCTTGTCTATGTTTACGCCAGACTGTGTATAAATTCGGAACTTTGCCTGTTTTGGACTAAATGATGTATTTCTCTCCCTTTCTCTGTTCTACGCCATTTGTTCATATTAAATCACGTATTTGATTATACTCTTGTGTGTTGATCTATATCCATTTTACTGGCGTGGTGGCAGCGAATTTACGTCCCACTCTTGATAAAGACCTGTGTACATACATCTCGTAATAGAATTATTACCGTGAACGCAAGTGTATTAAACAAAAACATTGACAATGGCAAATTCTACCCGCGCGCCAAAACAATGGCGCCTTACCAAACATGAAACTGTAAACTCATTTGAAAACTGGAGACAAAACTTAATCTACAGCCTTTCTTTAGACAAGAACTTTGCTCCCTTTCTCGTGGCTGGGCTTAAATGGCAGAAAAAGACCAAAACTGCACCTCACAGAGGCTTTGTGAATGACGGTGAGGATGTAGCCGAAGCTGACAGGAAAACTGTGAGCAAAAAGGTCAACATTCTTGAGTTGATGTTAGGACAGATAGCAAATTTTTGTCCAGTAATATCCAGAAACACTATTGTTAAAAACTCTACCTTCCGTTGGTGATATTTTGGCAAACAATCCGCCTCCACTATGGTTTCCAAATTACTGGTGGCCATTTTATTGACTTTGATTCTATCCGATATGATCCTACAGAGAGACCCGAAGATTTGTTCCAACGACTCACCACATTTATCGCATTTATAATAAGTAATTATACTTTTCTTTGATAAATGTAGCGCTTAAAGAACATGATTATTCATATATCTATGTTTAGATAATTAGTACTAATTCTATTTCTACGATAATTGTTGACATTTTGTTCTATATATTTCTATTATGTCTTTACCATGTCTGATATGTAGCATCCACAGATGTATATTTTGTATTATAAATCTTTATATGTGTATGGGCCGGTGGTCTATAACTCAATAAAGTTTGATTTGATATGTGTTTATTAAGAGGGGTATATTTCCCCTTTATTTTCTTATTATTATTTGCTGATTCAGAGTCAACTCGTCCTCTGGTCAACTCGTCCTCTGGTCAACTCGTCACCTTTTTGGTCAACTCGTCCCCTGGACAACTCGTCCTCTGGTCAACTCGTCCCCAACTCGTCCCTTATATTTTATTACTACTTGTTTTTCATATAGTTCATAAATCATTACAGACTGTTAAAATAATATATTATAAAATTTTTTGACATCTTACGACTCTTGGGGCTTGTATAAGCTGCCGAATTCTCTTAGAAGTCCCGTTAATGACAACTCCCCATTCCTGTACTTATCCCACAGCTGGTGCGTCTGTCCCTGGAGAAAGGTGTACTTTTTCCGCTGGTAGCGGCGTTACAGTGAGTCTTCCTTCACTTATCAATTCAGAGTTCCTCACCGCTACCTGGGCCTCATCGTACAGCAGTTTTATCAAAAGGTAGAATGGAGGCGTTCCCCGATATCAATCAAATTCAGTATTAATTTTACATATTTTACATAAAAGAATTATTTAAAGACATTTTAAAGACAGAGATCGAAAGTAGGGGACGAGTTGACCATATTAGGGACGAGTTGACCAAATGTAGGGGAAGAGTTGACCAAAAAGGTGTCGAGTTGACCAGAGGACGAGTTGACAAGGGGACGAGTTGACCGGATTGCTTATTTGCTTATATTTTTCAATAAAATGTATAAAGGGGAGATAATTTGCCATTTTCTACTTTCGTTTTCGGTACACACACATTTTAATAATCATACCCCATACAATAGGACTAGCTGTTGCAATTATTAATCAATATTATAAATTCATTTAAGGAAGAGCTTAATAAAAGTCTAATTAATGTGTGTTGATATTTAAGATTATTAGCCTCACGCGGAAATTCCCCAAAATCCAACTTTCGTTTTCAATAATTTGATAAAACATTGGTAATTTACCTAAGCTAGTTAATTGTTTTTGACTTGTTATGTTAACATTTCATTTAAGTAAAAAATAATTTACTTATTAGTCACAAACGTTTCAAGATACTTACCGCAATTTCTTCAAATTTTGAGAAAATATTATCCGGGGCTATTTTCCGCCATATTGATTTACTCCAATTTTACAGCGCATGCATATTGTAAACGAACACTACTAAATTATCGAAAGATTTCACAACACTAAATATTTCCCTACACTTTCTTTAGAAAAAAGGGTTAAGAGACTCTTTGCGAATGATTATTTGAGGCAATATTGTGCCTTTTCTTTATTATGAGAAAATAATAGCAGGTATATATCATTTTTTTCATTTTTTTATCATTTTATTCACGGGGATAGGGCGTTTACCACAACTTTTCGGCGCAACGTCAAAATATCATACTTCTGACCGAGACATCGTATATTTCTGGACAAAATATTAATGGCGGGATAACCAAATTGCAGGTAATAGCTTACAAAATATCTTACTGCTGGACATTGCAAAATTTTTTTCAATTGTTTAAGTACTCCATCGAATTTTTGAAACAATTTATCGTTAATCTAGCACAACACAAAGTCAATTCACAAAAATTACATACTTCGAAGAAATAGTGTTTACAAAAGATCGTGTCTACCTCAACATGACTCGTACTTGTCACAAAAACATATGCTAAAACAACAATGTATTTGTTTTATGACCCTACGAGCTTGTGTATACATTATGGTTAGTCATAAATTCAAGTTCCATACAAAATTGTGTGTTTGTATTGTAAATTTTAGGGAATATTTATGTTGAAAAAAGGCCTATTGACTCGAATATTGGAGCACCGTACAACACTGAATTTAAAAACCGCATTCTTTTTCCGTTGAGCGATAAATACTGGAACCGTTTTCATTTGCACCATACTTTATAAGTAACTGTTAATTTACCTGCTGTTATGTTATATGATGCTGTTATCACATGTTATTTTATGGAAAACTTCCGAAGGTCTGGTCTATGTAAATAATACTAGTTAGATAAGTGCAATGGTATCTTATATATTTTATTCTGATATCGAGAAAAGGACACAAAAGTATTTGCTAGTACGCATGAAAATCTCTTGTTTTGTTAGGAATTAGCCTAGCTGGTGACATTTAGCTTTTTTCTAAGAACTGTAATGTTTGCATGCGAAAAAGCAGCTTCAAATAACATGTTCTTGTACTGAGAGAGACAAACACTTTGTAAAGCTGAAATTTATTTTCAAAAAGTTGTCTGTTTTAGAATGACGTGTATTCTTAGAACCCCGGGCTCGTCTTGAGTCTTCATTCAAACGTTTCACCTTTACTTATAAGTTTTCTAATTAGCAAGGTTTCATGTCATTGATTTTGTGATTTTACATATATTAATAGCGGATATGCAGCTAATGATTGTCTTACAAGCATTTCGTTGCAAAGGCATAAATTAAGGCTATAATTATATATTCTGTTATTTGTTTCACATTTAGTGGCAACAACAATGATCAGCCTGCCATAAAAAACTTTGAGAAGAAAGAAATTGCTGTGTTATATAATGTTGCTGGTATTTTCGGTCAATGACTCATCAATAAGCCTATCTATTTCCGACTGAAGGTTCACAGACGAGTCTCTATGAGAATGCATGGATGTTCTGCTGTGTTTCATGGTAACTCTCGATACAGTCTTGCCTATTATAAGTGACTTATAGAATCAGAAATTGAGCTGAATTTTGTGCTAACATATTTTGTTGTTGTTTTTGTTTGGCCTTACAGCACAACGACACAACTTAGGTCATATGGCGCCAAACTGAAAATATGATTTGTGCTTACCTCGGGAGTTACAAACTTAAAGAAAAACCCGGGATCAAAACAACCTCACCTGTTGGAGCTAAGAGATGCAGATACTCTGGTCATGCGAACCCAATTGGTCGCCTCTTACGATCATGCAGGGATGAAAGGCAGCTGCAATTTTGATGCCTCAACTGTCAAAGGCAATCGACTCCTATAAGACTCAAAATTAGCAATGTTTCATATGATTGATTTAAGTGATTTAACATATAGAGGGTATGTAGCTAATTATTGTCTAGCACGCATATCGTTGCAAAGAAATGCATTAGTATAATTAATATATATTATGTTGTTTGTTTCACATTTAGTGGCAACTGTTGTCTTGAGCCTTCATTCAAACGTTTCACCTATACTTATAAGTTTTCTAATTAGCAACCATGTCATTAATTTTAGTGATTTAACATATAGAGGATATGTAGCTAATTATTAACTTACAAGCACACAAGCACATCGTTGCAAAGACATGAATAAAGACTATAGTTATATATTATGTTATTTGTTTCACGTTTAGTGGCAACTGCAATGATCTGCCTGCCATAAAAAACTTTGAAAAGAAAGAAATTGCTGTGTTATATAATGTTGCTGGTATTCTCGGTCAATGACTCATCAATAAGCCTACCTATTTCCGACTGAAGGTTCACAGACGAGTCTCTATGAGAATGCATGGATGTTCTGCTGTGCTTCATGGTAACTCTAGATACAGATTTGCCCATTATAAGCGACTTATAGAATAAAAAAAATGCTTTACTTTGGCGCACCGAACACAATTCAGGTCACATAAAAAAGGAATGATGTTTTTCGCTGTCTTCGGGAGTTACAAATTTCACCAATGAGTTGTTGAAATATTGATCAGTAAACGTGTTTACCTATAAGGTCAATGTGATCTTGACCTCTGTCCCCTTGACCCCAAAATACCATTGTGGTCATCTTTTGACTATAAGCAATGCATCTGAAATTTGAAGGTCAAGAGTCAATCGGTTGTCCAGTTATTAATAGGAAACCGTCTTGACATACCAGGATAAGGTGACCTTGACCTTTTACTCCAAAGTAAAAAGGGGTCATATATTCGCCAAGAACAATCCATAGACGAAGTTTCAAGGACCAAAGGCCCATGGTTTGTCAAGTTATTGATCAGAAATCGTTTTTAGCTACAAGGACAATATGACTATGACATTATAGCAATGACCACAAAATCAGTAGCGGTCATCTACTTGCCAAGACCAATGCATCTACAAAGTTTGAGGGTCAACAGCCTATGGCTCGTCAAGTTATTGATCGGACACAATTTTTACCTACAAAGTCAATATGACCTTGGCCCCTTGACCCAAAAATCAATAGGGGTCATCTACTAGCAAAGTACAATGCACCTATGAAGTTTGAGGGCTAACAGCCAATGAGTTGTCAGGTTACTGATCAGGAAAGTTTTGACCTAAAATTGACCAAAATCAATAAGGGTCATCAACTAGTTATGAGCAATCATCAGTTTCTAGGCATAAGCGTTTTTTAGTTATTAATCAGAAACCGTTTTTACCTTCAATTTAAATATGACATTGACCTTTGACCCCTTGACGTCAAAATCAACAGGGGTCATCCACTGGTCATGAACAATCATCATATCTAGTTTGAAGTTCCTATGCTGATTGGTTCTTTAGTTATTGATCAGAAAACGATTTTACCTATAATATCAATGTGACCTTGACCACTTGACTGCAAAATCAATCGGAATCATATACTGGTCATGAACAATCATCATACCAAGTTTGAAGTGCCTAAAAGGTCTAAGTTATTGATCGGAAACCGTTTTTACCTACAAGGTCAATGTGACCTTGACCTTTGATCCCAAAAAGAATTTGGGTCATCTACTGGTCATGAACAATCATCATACTAAGTTTGAAGTTCCTATGCCTAAAAGTTCTTTAGTTATTGATCAGAAACATTTTTTACCTACAAGGTCAAAGTGACCTTGACCCAAAAAATAATAGGGCTCATCTTCTGGTCATGAACAATCATCATACCACGTTCGAAGTTTCTAAGCCTAAAAGTTCTTAAGTTATCGATTAGAAAATGTTTTACATTCAAGGTCAATGTAACCTAAAAAAGTAATATGCCCTTATTTAGTTTTGTAGGAGAGGGAAAAACAAATAATTGCACAAATGAGTTCTGTACATTTTTTATTACGAACAGTCACACACTCATGCTATCAAAACAAGCAAACAAATACATTTTACTAATTTAAAAGTACATTGTATTACATTAATAACATAACCCAGTGCTCTGACAAGATTTAATAGTTATATATTTTGAACATTTCTCTAACCTGATATGCATGCCGCCATTTAAAAAAACATATTAAGCTATTTCTAATTAATCAAAAACAATTTACATTAATACTATATTTGCACTAATAGAACATTACTTTGTTATTTTTTGTTGTATCTATTCATTCTAAATACAGTGAGGAAATTTAAAAATCTACAAGTTAAAAAATACCTATATTTATTGTTGGACATGATACAAAAAAATAATCTTTAGTCAATCAATGGCTGAAAGGAAGTGTGTATTGCTATAATTTAAATCCCATATAGTTCTCCATAACTTTATCAATTATCAATTAATAGAATTACAAATCAAGACACACTTTAACAAAGTTATAATTAATATACATGTAATACCGAATAGAACTGTTTAATTTGCTAGTTTTCATCATCTTGCTTATGACAAATTAAACAGTTTTTATCATTTATTTACTTCATTCTTCATTAAAACCAACTTATTCTAATAAACAAACAAAGTTCTTATAAATAAAGAGAATAGAATTGTGCACATTTCAAATTAATAAGTGCTCTCGGACAAGTTTATATTTATACAAACAGAATTATTTCTACTTGTCTAGATACTTTTCAATGTACATTTCAAGTTAATTGTTCATGTAAAATATATAAGTATGTACCATTGACATATTCCACATTAAACTTATCTTAACTTAACTTAAGTATAAATATGGACAATATAGATTTGTTATCATATACATGTGCATAAAGGTATACAGATGTACTTGAATGATATAATCTATATTCCAAATCACAAACAAACATGTTTGATGCATATGTTAATAAGACATAACATACCTAAATGTAAAATAAACAAAAACATCCATATACCTAGTAATTAAACAATTACATGTAATTATATGTTTATTTATATACTAGATGAATTTACTCCATATATATTTAAAGTTAAAAGGCACATTACAAGTAAGAAATGTATAGATATTTATTTTTTGTAAAAAGGGCGAATAATAATAAGTGTTTGGTTATGTTGTAATAATAGATTTACAACATGTGATATTCTTATCCCCTGACAAAAATGAGTTTGAAAAGAAAATATGATTAGTGTCGAAAAATGCAAACAAAATGGTTATTTCACATCCATATAAAATACTTATTCATCATAACTGTACTAGTTGCCAAAATGCAAAAAAAAAAACTAGAACTCCGCGAGTCGGATGTGTCGCCTTGTGAACAATGTAGTTTAGGGGAAATGGCCAGGACAAAAATGAAATATGAAAAATAACAAAGGGCAATAACTAAAAAAATAATACGTGCAGAACAGCATTTCTGTACACTGCACTTCTTATCAATGAGATCTATCATTCTATGATGTTTTAAGTCCATAGCTTTCATACTTGAGGAGAAATGACCAGGACAAAAATAAAGAAAGAAAATCAACAAAGGGCAATTACTCAAAAATAAGAAATGCAGAGTATCAGTTCTTATGCACTGCACTTTTTTTTAATGAGATCTATCATCCTATGAAGTTTCAAGTCCATAACTTTTATACTTTCGGAGAAATGGCCTGGACAAAAATTAAGTATGAAAATTAACAAAGGGCCATAACTCAAAAATTAAGAAATGCAAAGTACCGATTCTTGTGCACTGCACTTCTTAATAATGAGATCTATCATCCAATGAAGTTTCAAGTCCATAGCTTTAATACTTAAGGAGAAATGGCCCGGACAAAATTAAAAAATGAAAATAAACAAAGGGCAATAACTCAAAAAATAAGAAATGCAGAGTACCAGTTCTTGTGCACTGCACTTCTTCTTAATGAGACCTATCATCCTATGAAGTTTCAAGTCAATGGCTTTTATACTTAGGAGAAATGACTCGGACAAAAATAAAGTATGAAAATTAACAAAGGGCAATAACTCAAAAATTAGGAAGTGCAAAGTACTGGTTCTTGTGCACTGCATTTCTTCTTAATGAGATCTATCATCCTATGAAGTTTCAAGTCTATAGCTTTTTTAGTTGAAGAGAAATGGCCCGGACAAAATTAAAGTATGAAAATTAACAAAGGGCAATAACTCAAAAAATAAGAACTGCAGAGTACCGGTCCTTGTGCACTGCACTTCGTGTTATTGAAAGAACCATGCATACCAAGTTTGAAGTCAATCAGACTTATAGTGACTGAGTTATGCTCCGGACAAGCTTTAGCGGACGCCGACGCCGACAACGACGCCGCCGCCGACACCGCCGACAAAAGTAACCCCTATATGTCACCTTTTCAAGGCGACACAAAAACAAGATGGCTTAGATATATGGCCAATTAGAGACTTTTTGAACAAAAAATGAAAGTTTTTAAAAATAAAAGTGTTATTTTTTTCAGTCTTAATGGGCCTTTAAACAAACAGGTATAAATGTCACATAACATTACTTGTTATAAAATAATATAAGCTTATCTTCATAAAAGGATTGCAATAGCTTGTAATTATCCCATAAACATTAATTTACATGTACTAATATGTTTACATATGTACTATATACATTCAATCAGAATTTCATGTAACAAACAGACATGCGTAATATGTGTTTACATATAACATATCTTAATCTTGGTATATAACTTTTGAGTTATTTCATGTAACATATGTTTTACAATACATGTAAAATAACATATCATAATTATGTTAACATCAGCAGAAATATAACTTATGTATGCCTATAATGTTATAATGTCTTGGTACTAAAATATGACAAATTGTTTAACTAAAAATTCTAATTGAACCTATCATAAATTATCTATGAACATAAATATATCTCAGTATATAAACTTATAAAATATGGCTGTCTGTGTGAAAGAGCATATTGACATATGAAAGCTGGTATATATCCCTCAGGTATAGCTGAGACTTGCATATATCCCTGAGGGGCAACTCAGAGAACTGACTTTTAATGAGGACTGGTTTATATCCTCAGAACTGGTATACATATCCGAGGGGCAGCTTAGAACTGGTATATATTACCAAAGTGGAGCTGGGAATTGGTATATATCCCCTAGATGTAACCGAGATGACAAAAAAGTAAGTTTAAGAGTCAATAAGCACTTGCGCCTGACAGCCATGTATATTTTACCTCAATTGTTCATTTCTATTGAGGATATGTATGAAGGTATAATGAAATCATATTTACATTTATGGTGTATAACTTGTTTTGATTAAAAATTATGTTATACTGTCTATGTAGTAACAGTATATACTAGTACATCTAAATTTACAGCACGGTATATCTATACTTGCCTTGTGTTTAAATTTATCATTCTAACACAAACAGCAAATAGTTCCCTTAAAGGAGCTCCACTGAGGTACAAAAGCTAAACAATAAAGAATAAAAAATAGAAAATCCAAAACAGATTAATCGGGATATTCAATATGGAAATAAAATGATACCAAAGAAATATACTCGAAATATAATTGCAAATTAATATTAATGAAGTGTAATTATCAGACGGACTTTAGCTATAAACATTTAAACACTGTCGACAGGACTGTGTGCTTGACTATCCACAGTGATTGATAATGCAAAATTATCTAACTTCAAAAAGGGAGATAATTCTGTCTATGTTACGGACAGTGACTTCCTATTATATGTGCGTGTGAAGTTCTAATCCACTTGTTATACGTAAAAACTTTAACCATAAAA